GCCTTTCTATATTTAAAGGCAGTTGGCACGATAAATCCTCCAAGACGAGTAGGACTAATACGCCTGGCAGGACGGAATTCCGCGACCCTGAGCAGGCGCTGCATAATGCCTTTTCCAAGGAAGGTGCCCTTATAAGGGCCCTATCAAGCCACAACATACCGACCCAAACGCCCGCCACGCCCCCGCCCACAAATGGACGACCGTTCCTGACGCTCGTATTGATTCATTTGCTAAGCAAATTATGAAGCGAAGGGATTGGTATGAAGCGGCCGTGATGCTGCATGGATATATGAGTACACATATGCAGCCGTACCTTCGGTAGCGGTTATTGGCAAGATGCCTACGGGAAACTCGTCCAAAATTGACTAACACAGTGAGAACGGAGGCTCTTTCTTCGCAGGATTTTGACCGTTTCACTCCGTTCTTTCGCCATTTCCCCACTATATAGCGCCCTACTAGCATTTTAGGCCGAGCACCAAATCATCGTGCCAACTGCCTTTAAGTTTGAAATTTGTTGATCTGACCGTTTAATGGAGTAGAGTGCATTCGCAGATGGATCTCCAACCACCAGCCACCATCCCTCTTCTTTTCGTTTCTGAGGGAATAGCGGCGCCACGACAGGAGGTGCGAGACCGTTTATATGGTTTTCACGCTCCATAGACACATTCACTAATAGCGTATCGCCACTGTAACAAGTTATAAATTAAATCATAAAATTAAGAAGGACATCAAAGAAAAGCTAGTAGCAAGATAAGCAGCAATGACGTACACTGTGACGGTATCGTTCTCCAACTCATGTTCAACTTCAATTGAAGGGTAGTTATTACAGAATTTGGCAACATCCGCAAGTTGCACATCTTCCATACGTAAAATATCTCGACGATCATCATCATCCAGCTCCAATAACTCGAATACTGATTCCACTTTCTAGAGAAAAAAGCATAATTGCTGCAGAGAAAACAACTGTTAATGCGCAGAGCAGACAACTGCACGAGTTATATACCAGGTTCCGTCTCACACATGACAACAGTAACGCTATAAGAACTCTCGAACCTTTTGCTTAGCTCTTTCCAGGAGCCCTGCATTGCAATGTGGTAGCTGCTTCAGGTATGATTCATTACTGTACATCGCTTGAGTCAACATTTGCGACAACTCCATAGCGTGAATCGCTGGCGAGAGCCAACCGTTGCTGCAAATAGATACGTTCTGGTGAACAAAGAAGGATTTTTTGTGAAAAGAGAACAATCGATAGTAGGATAATAGGCCAACAAACCTGGAAAGGACATCAACGCAAGCTTGCACAAGACGAATGGCCTTTAACACTACCATATCGGTGTCCTTGCTGAGCTCAGCTGACAGTTGGATGCGAGAAAGGTGGGCGTGGATCAGCAAATTCACCTTAACAGAGTTTTCTGACTGAAAGAAATCAAGAAGGGCAGTGAACTGATGTTAAGAAAAACAAACTATTACTTATTACTATACTGATATCTTACTGAAATGCTCTTCATGCTGCGTTCATACAGTGCGTCAACCGCCAACCTACCGCAGCGCTTCCGAGCGTAGGTCAGCGCCAGCGATTAGGAAAGTATAGGTATCGATTTAGCGTACGCCAGCGTGTGCCAGCGTACAGCAGCGATTCCAGTGACTAGTAAAGTATGGATATCGATTTAGCGCATGCCAGCGTTTTCGCGGGTAATTTGAGCTGGATCACCACTGCTCGCGGAAACTCTGCGGTGCAGTGACAAGCTGGCGTACGGTGGATTGATATCCCTACTTTCCTAGTCGCTGGCATACGCTTGAAACGCTGCCGTAAGCTGACGCTGTGTATCAGTTTACCCCCGTTGAGCTTATTGTTGTTAGCTATCGCAGTGGCAGAAGACCAAAATATAGTAGATCGCAGCAAGAAATTTCAGAAATCGATATCACGCACCTTCACATGCGGATCAGAAAACTTCTGATTCTTCAGTTGTCCAGGTAGACGAGCAGCAAGTTGCTTCATTACAAGGTCTTCACGATGTCGCATGGGTATTGAAGCGAACTCACTTGCATTTGCAATGATTTCAATAAGTGCTCGCAACTTGGTTTTAGCTTGCAACGACATTGAGAAAAGCTCTGTAACAATCGTGTTGTAAACGCATTGCCTCTCAATGTTATGGGGTCATTTACGGCTGCAAAAAACTCACCTATGGTAGTGTAAG